GGTCCCTACTCCCTCTCTGACTTCACGTTTATACTAGATTTCCCATTAGGCTTGTTCTTTGGGCCACACTGGCTTCTCTTTAGCTCCCTGCATGTGGATACTCTTTCTGGTCTCCAGTATAAGCAATTCTTCTGCCTGGAATGCTCAGCCGTTCTCCCGCCCTGAACCTCCTGCCGCCTTCATTTATCTCAGTTAAATCCTGTTCAAGCTTCGGGTCTCAGCTTTGACACCATTACTTTAAGAAAACCTCCAGGTCTCCCCATGTGCTCTCTCCCAATGCACTCCCATCTACTTCCTGTTATTATATAATTGTATAATTATTTGATTCATGTCTTCTTCCCACTAGACTGTACATTCCCAGGGAGCTGGATTCACATGTTTTGCTCACCACTGTACCTCCAGTGCCTTGTACAATATTTACATTTAGTAAGTACTTAGTAGATGTCTGTTGAATGAATGAATTACAGCTTTCCATCCACCTAAAAGAATATATCAGCTTATACGTTAATTTTTTCCAGAGTGTTTTCAGGATATTATAGCATAGGGCGGAGAAGGCAATGGCAACCCACTCCAGTACTCTTACCTGGAAAATCCCATGGGCAGAGGAGCCTGGTAGGCTGCAGTCCATGGGGTCGCGAAGAGTCGGACACGACTGAGCCACTTCACTTTCACTTTTCACTTTCATGCATTGGAGAAGGAAAGTGCAACCCACTCCAGTGTTCTTGCCTGGAGAATCCCAAGGATGTCAGAACCTGGTGGGCTGCCATCTATGGGGTCGCACAGAGTCAGACATGACTGAAGCGACTTAGCAGCAGCAGCAACAGCATAGCATAGGAATATTGAACTTGAAAAAACACAAAGGAAATAATACATTATCACTTATAATAATTATTAACATAATTTAAAGTTCATTATGTTTATTACCAAGCTCAAGCTCATACTGTTTGGTGCACGACAGGCCAGTAGATTGAGAGACCAGTTGTTGGGGTAAAGAACAGTGACTTTATTTGGAAAGTCAGCAAACAGAAAAGATGGTGGACTTTGTCACAAAGAACCCTCTTGCCTGAGTTAGGATTTAGGCTTCTTTTATACTAAAAGGGGAGGAAGTAATTTCAAACACTTCCTGATTCCGGTCAGCCTCCAGAGGAGATAAGTTAATTTCTCCCTGCAGTCATCCATGGGTGGGCCTGATTAGGATGTTTCCTGTGAGCTAAAGAAAGGTATTTCAGCTGATACTCATTACCTGCGAAGCAGGGTTCCCAGAGATGAACCATCATGTATGTATGTGTGTGTATCAGTTCCTCAATCATATTTGATTCTTTGTGACCCCATGAACTGTAGCCCATCAGGCTTCTCAGTCCATGGGATTCTCCAGGTAAGAATACTGGAGTGGGCTGCCATTTCCTTCTCCAGGGGATCTACCCAACCCAGGGATCGAACCTAGGTTTCCTGCATTGCGGGCAGACTCTTTACCATCTGAGCCACCAAGGAAGCCCTTTATGTATAGTTTAAACTTATAGATGACATCCCTTTAGTGGTTAGCTTGTAATAGAATACAAAGGTTTTCCCCTATTACATGCTCATTAAAGAGAACAAACCACAAATGGTCCCTTTCCTGTAAAATATGGAACTGCTCACCAGTTTCTGGTCCTCAGAAAACAGAGGGTATTACAGACTCACATTCATTGTCTGTCCCTTGAAGACAGACTGTCTTTTTTTTTTTTTTTTTTTTGCCAGTAAAACATGAGCAGAAATGATTTATGCCAATTTCAGACAGAGGCTTTTTTTTTTTTTCCCAGATGGAGGCATTTGAGAGCTGGTGTGCATCCCTCAGGTGGCTCAGTGGTAAAGAATCTGCCTGCCAATGCAAGAAGAGCAGGTTCGATCCCTGGGTTGGGAAGATCTCCTACAGTAGGAAATGGCACTCTACTCAAGGATTCTTGCCTGGGAAATTCTATGGATAGAGGAGCCTGGAGGGCTACAGTCCATGGGGTCACAAACAGCTGGACACGATTAAGTACACACGCATTGTGCACCCTTCCAGCCTCCCTCGCCCGAAATAGAAACTTATTCTCTCACAGTTTTGGAGGCTGAAAGTCCAAAATCAAGAAGTCAATGAGACTATGCTTCTTCTGAAGGCTCTAGGGGACCATCTTTTGTTGCCTCTTCCTGGCGGCTGTTGGTGACCCCTGGTATTTCTTGACTTGTACCTGCATTACTCCAGTCTCTGCCTCCAGCTTTACTTGGCCTTCTCCTTGTGTAGCTTTGTGTCCAGGTATCCCTCTTCTTTCTCTTATAAGGACACCAGTTGTTGGATTTAGGATTTAATCTAATCTGGTGGGCAAGACAGAAAAAACTGTGTTGGCTGAAGTTGTCAGAGAATACCAAAGGATAACACTTACTAGGAGGCTATGCTTAACAAGGCTCATGGTATGTTCTAAAGACTGTGCTAAGCATGTTATAGGTATTATACTCTTTAAACCCCATGGAGGTTGTTTACTATGAGACTGGTATTTTTATCCATTTTACACGTGAGAAAACAGCTTGCCCACGGGGCGCTGAGAATTCCAATCCAGCTCAGTCTAATTTACAATCCTGAGGTCTATGGACTTTTCTGTGTTGCTCCTTCAATTCACCTGTTCCTTTGATGGTCTGCTAGACAATAGGAATCTAGATTCTGAACTACACAAAGTTTGCTTTTCTTTCTATATCCCAAGGTTGCATTGATCATGTGGCAAAATTAACAATTAGAAAGAGGATAGAATAGTCAAACTACTCTTCAATTTCTATTTCAACAATGGCTTCCCTAACTGATTTTTATGAATTAGTTAAACTCAGCTTTCCATCTTTCCTTTTATAAGATGCAACCAACTTTCAGACTTCAATTTTTTAACTTGGCCATGGATGCAAAGATCTGTCATATCAGAGGCCTTCATTTCTCCTCTAAGCATTAAAGCAATTAGAAGAAACAGGATCAAAAGAATCAACATGAAACCAAACCAACCCTAATTTTAAGTGTTTCCAACTTTGTTTCAAAACATCTTTATGAGGATTGTTTTCCAAACAGCAGTGTGTGAAGCCTTCTACTTTTGAAAACTGACTTTACTATAGAGACATAGCCTGTTTTTTATGCCTGGAGAAGCAGGGAATACCCAAGCTGGCATTCAGCAGTAACAAATATAAATTAGACCATTAAAAAAAGTTGTAGGAATGTTAAAATCCATGTTGACTGGTTTTTACATTTACCTGGCAGCATTCCCATGCTACCATTGGCATGGAGATTGGAAAATGAAACTTTCCATCAATCTGTCACTTGCTACTGTTTCCACTTACTTTACCGTGAATCCAATTTTTAAAATTTTTTAATGTTAAAAAAAAGTTTGATGCTTTTTTTGTTTTCTCTTTAAAGACATTTCTCAAACATAAAAACACTCATGAAAAGAGTTTTTAAAAATCAGTCAAAGATTTAGTTTTCCAAATACTCAGCTGTTTAACATTCGGATAATTGCCTTTTTAAATTTTTTTTTCCACATTTAGTCTGAATGCTTTGGCATGGGGGGAGCCCCACAGTCTGAAAGTAACTTTGTCCTGGCTCTCCCCACTGCATTTATTATAGAAACTGGAAGACACATCTGCTTTTCAACAGGGCCAGGGAAAGCTGAGGTTTCAAGGAATAAAGTCGAGCTTCCCAGAACTTTGGTGGAAACAAGTTTGGCATGGTCACACCTCGGTATTCTCGAAAGAATTTCCTTGAGGATAAACCCTCTGAGATTCTTGAAGCTAGACTCGAGGTCACAATGGAAGGGGAAGCTCTCACTGGTCCTCTCATTGGGGTCCTAGAAACCAGTAGGTACTCAAGTCATGTTTACACAAATGAACGAATCCCAGTAACGTCGCATTGCATCTTATAAAGACTGAAAGATGATTATCTTGGACTGGAAAGTAAGAGAGCTGCCTACCTGGAGCGTAAGGTGCCTCAGGCTGGTATCCGGAGCTTGGCGATCTCATTTCGCTTTGGCATCATCCTGAACTGCTCTGCCTGAAGCTGGCGCGACGTTAAAGGGAAGAAATGAATGCGAGGAACATCAGAGAGCAGAGGGTAGGGAACAGATGTGAGGAGAAGGGGAGGCCAGTCCTTGAAATGAAAGAAAGAAATTGGACTCCCACAGCTGGAAGGACAAGTCCCTCAGTGTCGTCAGGGAAGTGGGATGAGGGGTAATTTTGCCCTCCGTAACCCCCATGTTTCCCACGGCTCCAGGTTGTTTGCTGCCCGTCTTTTCAGTTCCTGGCCCCTAAGGACAAACCGAGTGGCAGTAGGTGGCGTACAGAAATTAATACATTGAGCCGCTTTGGGCACCTCCTGTCCTTGCTCCCCCGGTGTGTCCACAGCGCCCAGCAGTTTTGTGCTGCTGCTGCTGCTAAGTCACTTCAGTCGTGTCCGACCCTGTGTGACTCCATAGACGGCAGCCCACCAGGCTCCCCCGTCCCTGGGATTCTCCAGGCAAGGACACTGGAGTGGGCTGCCATTTCCTGCTCCAATGCAGCACCTTTGCAGGCACTCCCTAAACATCTGGAGAGCAAATGAGCTGCAAGTTTGCAGCGCTGAGTACGTGGAGCTGGGGAAACCAGGACAGCAGAGGGGGTGTCTCCGACCACAAAAGACGTGCGGGCGCGTGCGGAAGGCAGTGAGGGCGCGAGGCAAGGGGCTGGCCGCGGGCCGGGCGCCGCGCGGGAGGCGCTGCCTGCGTAGCGCCCCGGAGTGGGGGCGCCCGGCACCATGGCGACACGTGGAGCCGGGACAGGCGGGTGGGGGCGGGGGTGTGCCCGCGCCGTGTCCCTCGCGCGTGCGGCAGGCCGGGCGGCTGCGTGAGTCACGTCGGGGCTCCCCTTTATAACCGCCGGCAGGATCGCGAGAGTGGCCAGTCCGGCACTCCGCGTTCGGTGCTCCAGCCCGCGCGTCCCCAACGGTCCCCCAACAGCCGCCCAGGCCCGAGGGTGCCATGAGAAGCCCGCGCTGCGCCCGCCTGCTGCTCCTGCTGCTGCTGCTGCCGCTGCTGCTCACGCCTCCCGCCGGCGACGCCGCGATCATCACCGGGGTAAGCGGCCGGGGCGCACCTGTCCACCCGCGGTGCGCGCCCTCCTCGTGCCGCGGGGTCGTGGGGGCGGGAACCGAGCGGGAGACGGGGTGAGGACCGCGACCCGGAGGTGGGGGCGCGGGAGGGTTATCCCGGACCGGGTCACCTGCCCCACTCGCCCCTTGGAGCGCCTGGAAAAGTGCCCTGATTGCTAAGCAGCGGACAGACAGGACATCAGGCGCGCCCTGGAAGACGTGACTGCAGCCGCTCCCCACCACCTTCTCCTGCTTGCCTGCCCCTCTGGCCTCGTGTTTGGTCTGTTTTCTCTTAAGTTAGAAGAAGTTTCCTTTGGCAGTTTTCTCGAGCACTTTTTCCTGGCTTTTCCAGCCTCTGTCCTTAAAATTTAAGTGCCTTAAAATGCAAAGGGGCAAGACCCCCAGATTCTGGGAGTCTTAATTCTGCGGTTGAGGAGTTTGCTCCCCAAAGCATCCTCTGCAAAAACCCTTTGATATAACTTGGTACAAGGTCATGAGTGCACTTTTAAAAAGCAACATGGGTCCTTTCTTCTGAGTTCCAGCGTTTTTCATTTTTTCCCCCAACATCCTGAGATTCTTGTAAAAGTTTTCTGTTTCCTGCTCCTGACAAAGCACCTTCAGTGCTTTGGCTTAATTATGGAGTAGGTGACCCGGTAGATGTTTCAGTTTAGAGAGATGTCATCATTTGTGGAAGTAGGAACTAGTTCATTTCTCTCCTAGGTCCACCAACAGGTTTCTTTGTGTGCATCGGAAGGATAACTTTACAGCACAAAATGAAAATGTCTACTTTATGCCAACAATGCAGAATCGCTACCATTTCCTGATTGTTCAACTCTTAAGTCTGAAAGTATTTTACACCTCCATTAGATTATTTCAAATATCTAAGTGCACATAATAGGGTTTAAAGAAAAAACTTCTATGTTTGAGATGATAGTACACAGATAATGAAATATCATTTAAATTTAAGGGAAATGTCATTGTCTTGAGAAAATTAAGCACTATTGTCTCCATGTGCTTATAGCACATTAAAAGTCCTTGTATTATAACAGTATTTGGTTACAACCAATAGATATTTGGGTTGGGCCAAGAGATACTTAATTAATAAGTATTGTGATATTTATTAGTATAGTTTGTAGAGATTTTTACAGATATAGATGTATTTGAATAGCTTTCTCAGTCCTTGTGGTTGAAAAAAAGTTTTTACAGGTCTTTCTAATACAGGAGAATTGAAATCTGATTGGTTTTTCCCGTCTTCCCCTGCTGGCTCTTTAAATTTCTCCTAATCCTCTGAGCCCCAAATTCCTTTGTGATATAAGTATCTTTTTGTTCCATTCACAAGACAACACCATTTGAATAGATTTGCAGTGGGTTAAAGATGAAGGGCATTAAGAAACAGCTGTCTAATTAAAAATATATAAACCTATGCAAGTATTTCCAAAGACTGAACCTTTTTTTTAAAAAAGTGAATTTTATCACATTGAATGTTTATCTGTTAAAGTTTAAATTGGGCTTATACGATTATATGTGTTCTTTTTCTTGTTGCAAATCAGTGCTAGAAAATAAAAGGATCTTTAAAAATTTCTCTAAAACAGCATGGCAACAAATAAATACAGTTATGTTTCCATGACAGGAACCATCTGGAGTCAAATGAAAAACCTAGTAACTTATCTAGATATGTCATCTCTAGGATGTTTAAAATCCAAGTCATTGATTGAAATTTAAGAGATTTTGACTGGATTTTGATTGTCTTATTAAAAGAGCTAGTGGGGCTTTAGAATTCCTGGTCTTGAGCATCTGTTGAAATAAAATATTGCCTAAAACCTCCACCTTGAATATTTACTTTTGGGGGGGTAGTAACGTGATTGTTTTTGAATTGATTTATATGTCCACATAAATTTGTTAAAACTGTAATGAAAAAGATCATATAGTGAACATCTCATTTATGGAATGTAATGGCTATGTATGTGTGATTTCTGATGTTCAGATAAAAACTGGAAAAATGGAACTGTTTGTATATTTTCCTATAAATGTCCAAACACCCCAAGATGAAAATTGTAGTTTTTATCCAATACTTGTTTTAAATAGCCCAAGAAAAAATTCTAATGGGGAAAATAAATAACTCTAAAACAATATAGCTGATCACTTTAATGAAAAAATAATAAGAGTATCCCCATATATTTGTGTTTTGAGAAGTTATAGCTGTCCCCAAAACTAAGAACTGTGAAGTGTCTTAGTTGTTTCCATTAAATCTGCACTTAAATTTGTCTAAATTATAGATTTTTTTAGCTTCTTATATATATAGTATAGGATGTTCTCACCTTAACACTATCAAAAGAGATTACCGAAAACCATTCAAACAAAGCATCCTATTTATGGATGGTTCTAGGAAAGAATAATAGTTCTTTGGATCTATTTTCATGCAAATAAGCTTACACTTCATTATTTACTTCTCTTTAGTCAAGTGAGGAAATTCCTCCATAGTTGATTCTTTGATTATATGTATTTACAATTTTTATATTAGGAACAAGTGTCTTGAGTAATCACTGTTGATAATTGCATCTGTCACTTGTATTTCTGAATCTGATGGATCTCATAGAATAGTTTCATTAATCTTATATTGTACACATATGTATACCCTAAGGCAATAATTTCCTTTTTGCAGGTTACTCACCCGAAAAAAAAAGAGTAACATAAGGCAAAAGTATTGGTCTGCCCATTCTCAGCCTATGAAATTTCTTTCTTTCAAAAGGAATGGTGAAAATCAAGTCAGAGGTGTGAGAAACGTCGAATCTCATGAACCAAAATGCAAATATTTGAAAGAGAAAATGAGTTATACTTTTAAATTTACATCGGTATCTTTGTGGATCTGGAGAATTTCATGATAGTTTTAGAGACTATTTAAATCTCTTTTTACAATTGGGCCCACTTTATTCTACAATTAATAGTTATAGAATCTTGTGGTTCGATTTATGTAGTTCCTAATGGCTATGTATGGTAAAAGACCAATATAAACTCCTTCAAGTTCAAAGCTGTTTCATCCATAAAGCGCTAGAAAAAGAGAGCTAATTTTGTTTTTTGAAAAGTGTTGGGGTTTAAAATTTTCATAATGTATGGGCCATTATTTAGGCTTTTTTTTTTTCCACCAAGTGCGAAAATCTCCTCTGATCAGATTTTATTGTAAATATGTTCAAATAAATGATTACAGTTTTTTTTAACATGTCAGATTATTAAAATCATAGCTGTGGGATATTAAAAGGGCTTTTTTTTTAAACTGCTAATTTTAGCCTGAGTTGTTCTGATTATCTTTATTTATCTGTTTGTTTATTACATTTCAGGCCTGCAAAAATGACCCCCAGTGTGGTGGAGGCATGTGCTGTGCTGTTAGTATCTGGGTTAAGAGCATACGGATTTGCACACCGATGGGCAAAGTGGGAGACAGTTGCCATCCGATGAGTCATAAAGTTAGTATATATGTGTTCTTGTTGGTTCTCTTACACTTCAGTTACTCAACTCCAAGCAAAGCCTCTGTGACATGAAACGTGCTAGAAATTGGAAATCAGAGAAGATGAAGTGGAACACCTCTTCCATTCTCCTCTCCATTTCCATCTGAGAGAACTGAATTCTTACCATCCTTATTTAATTGATCATTTACTCATCTTTGTTCTCATGGCATTAGAAACATTTCATAAAAATAATTTGAAACACTGAATTTTGCTTAACAGTTTTAGGATATAAATATATGTTACCTTTGGATATATGAATATATTTTATATCCTAAAATACTATTTATGTATATATATTACCATTTATATTATATACATATATATGTGTATATATAAAATACTGTGTATACTTCTTTGGTGAAATCAGAATATGAAAGCTCTTTAAAAAAGTTTTAATGTCAGACCTACTGAAAAGGCAGAAGCACATAAGTTTGTGCTTTGGGTTTTGTAGAAAATGATCCATGATGTAATCACTCTTGTATTTTAGTTTGAAAGTCCTACATTTTGACTCTCTCCACAGGATGCAATGTTCACAACCCTGGAGATTCATGATGTTAACCTTCCCAATTTATTCTACTGTCTAACAGCTCAATATCACAATGACCTAAACAGCATTTTTGGAAAGTTATTGACAGGACGTGGCAAGAGTGCTGGCAGGGTGGGCTGGGACTGCAGAGGTTGTGTCCTAAGGCATTGCAGACCCTCCTGTCTGCAGGGGCCAGGGTGCCGTGTGGGACTTCTGCAAGTGGGTGGGTGGCAGGTAGGAAGGAGCAGAGAAGTCTGTGGAGCCTGGAGAATCGTGTCCTTCAGATACAGAACATTTGAAACCCAGTATGGTTCCAGCCAGATCCCCGAGGCGTGCCAGGCTGCAGGTGCCTTGCTCTTCTTGGGCCGTCAGTACATCCTCACTTCCCAGCAGTTGCGTGGGGTCCAGGGTGCAGGGGTGGGTGGGGCGTGGTATGTGTGTGCTGGAGGACACGTCCCAGGCCTGGTGGCTTGTTGGAGGTAAGTTCAGTCCTCTGCAGTGTTCTCTCTACCCGTCATATCCTCTAAAAACAGGTGAAATGTTCTCAAAGCAAACTTAATTCTGCATTCTGCCTTCTTCTTTTCGCCACGTGTGGCTTAGGGTTTAAAAATTAAATGGAGCCAAATATCTTTCCAATACTCCACAGTCACAGATAACAGCTAAGGTTTTGACTCTGTCTGAGTGAAATACGGAAATAAATTGGCTGGAGTTGCGCTCAATGCGCTGCGGTGGGGACCCTGGTTGTTTAGAGCCATCTGACGATGACCTTGGGCTCTCCCGTGGTTTCCTTGAGAAACGCTTCCTGTTGCATTGGTACCATTCCTCACTGTGGTTTGACCGCTTGAGTCGGGACTGTCGTTTGTAAGCATGATATGCACCTTTTATTCCTGGCCATTTTGAGACAGGAAAGGTTTCAAAACCGTTAGTTGTCTGGCTCTGTGCCAAGCCACTAACCCCATTCCCCTTGGTGGAGGAGGGGGTGGGGAGGTGAAGCCTGCCCAGCCGCCTTTGGCATTGGTCTCAGTTTTTTTCATCAGCCTTATCCAACGCGAGTCATCTTTTGTCCGTGGGAGTCGCTGTCGCTTAAGAGTTGATTCTTAATTCACTGTTCTTTCAGAATTAGTTGTCTTTGTACATTGTTAGTATAACCTCGGATGCCCCAGCTGGTTTGCTAAAACAAGTCAAGAATGGCACATTCTGGGCAACTATTTTTGTACAAATAGCGATACTAGTTGCCACTTGCTGTATGCCATGGTGTACCAGATCCTCGATATGATACTAAATGTTGTGATTCTCATTGAATACAACAAGTCTGTGAAGTAAGGTTTGGTTTTCTCCCATCCTCTGCACAACATTCAACTTCACAGGGGCTCAGTATGTGGCTGAGGTCCCAAGGCGATGGGTCAGAGAATAGGCTCTGGATTTCGCTCTGTCCATCACTCCATGGGCATCTACTTCGGTGAAAGCTGTGGTCATGTTTAATTTGAACTTTTTTTCAGGGCAGTTAACCCAGATGGGTTTGTGTAGGGAAGATGCTCCCTGAGTTGACACGTAATAGTCCAGGGTTGAAATTTGTCTCATCCTGTAGTTCCGATGAGGTTTCCAAATATTGAGATATTTTGACAAGAGAACCAGATTCTGTTTTCCTGGTTCCTATAGTTTCTAGTTCAGATTTAATGCAAAGTCAGTTTTGAAAGAAAACAGAATCGTTCTCCTGCCATAAACCCAGGAGCATCTCTGTGCTGTGTTTTTAATCACACTTTTGATAAAAAAAAGTCTATGAGAACAGATTATGGTTTTCATAGTAAAATTAAGTGATAAAAGAACTGAAAGTACTGAAAAAGTAAGATTTTAATGTCAGATCTAAATTTACCCCCATTCAGATGTCCACTTAAACCATGTTTTTAGACCTCAGTATTACAGCTGTTCATATTGGTTATTTTACTGCCTTGAAAATACATTTTCATAGGTGATTTCAATAACATAGTTCTTGTCCCAGAGTTGTTACTTGTTCTGAGTTCTTCCAGAGAGTCTTTCAGCTATATTCTATTCAAAACAATTAAAAAAAAATTTTTTTAATAAATATGTCCTGGTGAGACTCCACTCTAAAGTTTTACAGTTCATTAGTAGATGGTAAAAATATAGATGGACGCTGTATAAAAGTTCTTTTAAATGTGATGTGCTCATTACGTTCCCCCCTCCATTTTCTTTTTGTCTTCTAAAAAAAAAATAGGCTAACTCTGATTGTGGTCACAGGGGTTGGTGTATTAAAAATACAAGACTGTGAATAGGTGAGGACTATACCTGCTCTAATTTTAAACTTTCTATTCTGGTTTCACTTAGACATTAGCCACTGATATTATTTTGATAAAGTGAACAGTATTTGATGAATGAAATTAAGACCTATAGGTAGATACTATTGAATTCATTTTACTATTTTGTTTCTGATGTATCAATTAATTAGACAGTTTAGACACTCCTAGGCTATAATTTTGTAATTGTAAAATTTTTAACTTCACATTTCATCATTCAAAAATAGAATAAAATATGTCTACTTGAAAGGAATAGGATGCATGCTTTCTAAACACATTTTTAGGCAGATAGTAGTTATAACATGTATTGATTTTTTTAACAACTCATTTTTAATAATTAAGAGTGCATTATTAAATCACATATCTATTGGGAACACTTTGCTGTTTAAGAAACACTAGTTTCTATTAGTACCCACACTTTTATTAACAGAGCTTACAAAGGTTAGTCATGTCCATCTTATACTGTTTACTCATGGGCTTTAGAAGTTTAAAATTATGTGATGAGTACTTTTGGTTTTTTATTTTTGTTTTTGAGTTGCACTTTAAAACTTGACTAATACATTTTCCTTTTCTGAAGAAAATAATTTCCAATTAGCAACAGGACTTCTGAGCCTGGACTCTTGACATTTTAGACTGGATGACTCTTTGTTGTGGGGTGGCCCTGGGCATTGTTGGATGTTTACTAGGATCCCTAGTCTCTACCGGCTAGATCCCATAGAACCCCATCCCAGCTATGACCTCCAGAATGGTCTCTAGATGTCCCCCTGGGCATTGCAGGGGGCTGGAGTCACCCCAGGTGAGCACCACTGTCTAATACTTCATTTACTTAGCCTTACAAGACAGAGCATAGGAGATCCAGCATCTTCACCTTCTAGGGAACTTATCAGCACACAGCTTCTCTTGCCGTCATCCACACGGTGCTGGTGGCTGCCACACATGATTACCAGGATGCGTGTGTGTGTCAGGGGGGCCCTTTGACCCACAGAAACTACTTATTTCTTACATATCTTTTATGCCCCTCTAGTCCCAGAGACTCAAGGTTCCCCAACTCAAGTCCAGTTCCATACAACCGAGGAGGCTGGCCCACCACTCCCTGTTTTTCTTTATTTTTTCTGGGGACACAGTGCAGTGGGAGGCCCAGGTCTGTGTCAGGCCCACTTCCTTCAGCACAGGCCCTAAGTTAACGTGATGCTCATGGGAAGGCGAGAGATCAATAATTGTATATTTAGGGTTCTGAGAATATATGTGCTGTGCTAAGTTGCTTCAGTTGTGTCCGACTCTTTGCGACCTTATGACTGTAGTCTGCCAGCTTCCTTGTTCATGGGATTCCCCAGGCAAGAATACTGGAGTGAGTTGCCATTTCCTTCTCCAGGGGATCTTCCCCACCCAGGGATTGAACCCACATCTCTTACATCTCCTGCATTGGCAGGCAGATTCTTTACCAGTAGTGCCAACTGAGAAGCCATGAGAATATATGCCTATTCCCAAAAGAAAAAAAAACTATATTAGAAGAAAGCATACAGTGGTACTCCTCATAGCTATTAAAACCAGAAACTGTGGGAATATGGGATTTGTCAGTTTTATTTTATGTACTTTTATACCATTTGAATTTTTTTGAACTACATACTTCTATTGATAAGGTGGTAACAAAACCAGTTTTATTAAGGAAAAACATTATTGGGCCAGTGTTTTTTATGTCACGTGACTCAACTTTTCTTAAAGTATCCCATTGTGTTTCCTTCTTTAACACAATCGACTCTGTTTTGAGAGATAGCAAATAATATTTTGGTTTCATATCAGCGCTGTTTTCTCTTTAAAAATGCTGCAAATGTATTGGGCATCATGCCTTCTCAAGAGTGCTGAAGGTTCTGCCTTGGTAACTCCTAGAATTTGCTGATTGGAAATCTATAGTATTCGAAACATTGGCTTGAGTGGATAGTTGATTCTAAAGTAAACCCTCACATTGGTACTGAATGATTAGCTCCTTGGCTGTATTTGTTCATCTAAAGATGCATATTCTGTGAACACTTTCTTGTGCATGTGTGACTGTCAAACAGCTACTAGGCTTGCCATACATGAATGTAGAAATAGCAGTGAATGGGCCAATCAAGAAATTGGCAGATATCTATGGGGCGTTCACTGTGTCAGCAGTTGTAGTCTGTGTGATGGAGAGCACGTAGATGGAGGAGAAAACTGCTACAGGCTGGTCCAGTGTAGAAAAGCTCGGGTGAGGGAGGGAAAAACACAGACTGGATCTTGAAAAAGGATAAATATAAGGAAAGGGCACCCAGGGATAAAGGAACCTGCCAGTCTAACCATTGTGTTAAATTGAGTTGCAGCAAATCTAGGTTGATGTTTACACAGTCATGATGCCCTGGGTAAGAAAAAGAATAATAGACATTTTTGAAGGTTTCACAAAAACACATGACCTTGAGAACACATTGCCAGGGCCCCTCCTAGACCCTGGAGGGACCCTACATAAGCAAGAGCCTTTGGTTTCTGAGTTTGGTGCCAGGCAGGGGGATTCAGGATGAAGGTGGAGCCCCAGGACCTGAGAAGGTCACCTCTTTACCCCCCAGGGAGGTCACAGCCTATGGTGGGATTGGGGTAGAAGACAAGCATTTGACACATATATTTTTGAGTGTGTCCTTTGTACCAGGCTGAGTGTTATGCACTCAGAACTAAAAGATTCCCTCTTCTTCCCAGGGCCTGGAGTCTGGGCCTGGTGGTATTTGGAAGAAGATGGAGATGGGTTTGACTGTGACATGTTCCTTTTGTGGCTTGATGACCTCGGTCAGGTGTGTCGCTTCCCCTCATGAGGAAGCCAGTTAGCTTGTGTCACAGGGAGACAGAAATCTGGCATCCAGCTTTAACATGACATTCAGACATCATGCCTTTCTGTGGCCTGGCCTGTGGCAGGCTGCCGGTGGGAGTTATTTTCTCTTTCCTGCTGCTTTTGCTGCTGAGAACCCACGTGGCAGGCCCAAGAGTGACCGCAGTGTCGAGGTGCATGGAGCATCAGTCTGAAGCCTTGAGTTCTTAGTAGCTGAAACTGTCTTACTGTGCATCTGTCATTGATGTGACACTCCGTGTTGGGCAGAGACCTTTCTTGTTTGACTCATCGCTGCATCCTCAGTACCTAAAACAGGGCCTGATGTGCTGGTGACACGCAGGCAGTGTCTGTTGAATGAATGAATAGAAGACGCCTGGTGGGTGTTCTCCATGTGGAGCAGTTTGACATGCTTGTTACAGGTAGCACTCACTTTTTCCAGGCTCCCGTTCCTTGCTGCCTGTGTTTGTTTCTCTCAACCTTGGCACTGTTGACATTTGAGAACAGGTGATTCTTTGCCATGGGGAAGGTCCCTTGAGTTGTAGGATGTTTGGCAACATCCTTGGCCTCTATCCACCAGATGTCCCCTCCCTTCACTGTGACACAGAAAAATGGCTCTGGACGTTGCCAGCCATCTCCTGGGGCAGCCTCACCCCAAATGGAGAACCACTGGCTCATGCAGTAGTTTGAGGCTCAGTGAAAGGAATCTCTCAAAATCTAGGTCAAAGTCATGAGTTATTATGTCTCATGCCATCCACTTGGAATTGTCCAAGCCATTCCTGCTGCCCCCACCTCCTCTGATATATATATTCTCAGTGGCAATAAATGAGCCAGCCTTCCATGGACCCTCTGACACACACAGTGACAGAACCATTCTAGCCCATGTCTGCGTGGGACCCACGGCCACGTGCCCCCATGTGGACACCGCCCTTAGAGCCTCGAAAGTAAGGCTCTCACAAAAGGACAAAGAACTGGGGTGTCCTGCCTGTTCACCACGTGCCATCCCCACCCGCCTACCCTTCCCTTTGATTTATTGACCTCAACCATCTCCCTGGCCCTTCCAGAACCATTTTGGAAATTGGAAGGCAGGAAAGAAGAAAGAGGAAGAGAAGAAAGGAAAAGGTAAGGAGAACATGAGCATGGTAGCATCCAAAGATGATGCCCAGAATAATTAGCCTTGACCATTGTTGAACACCCATAGAATTGGGTCCATCCAATCAATTCAACCTGGAAATAAGGTTAGAATGGTTCTGCCACTGTCTGCAGATAGTCTTTTGTTCAGCCTTTTGTTTGATGCAGAAAGAAATGATTTAGAAGGCATCTGGAAGATGCATCTCAAGATTTTCTTTGTAAGGATAGATCACTGATGTGGGGTAGCCTCTTTTGGTGGAATAGAATAGAAAATGCGCTAGAATGACACCAAAGGAAGCATTTGAGCTGGGAAGCAGGAAGGATGCATTTCTGTGCCATGTGTGAACTGTGGAAGGATCCCCTGAAGGCATGAGATTGCAATAGCTGTCCTCTCTAACATTACCCTCAATCGGGTAATTTGCCATCTCATTTCATTAATATCAACCACTTGCAGGCCTAGAGTTAAACTTTCTCCCTATCACTTGTAAAGCAGGCAGATTCTTGAGAGGGCACCTTTCCTATGGGAAGAAAAGGGGTTTTTGCTCTTTGCCTCTAGAAAGCATACATGTTTTTTGAGTCCTTCACTTGCCCCTGGCACAGAGAACAGCCACACCAGTTGCTAGCTGACCCTCCTCAACCTAGCTTCACCCAAGGCACAAGCAGGTTCTTAGAAACAGCAACTGAACTGTGCTTGGGGTGAGAGCGACCTTTCACTGCTGGCTCTCCCTGCCTGGGGTTTGCTCTGTTGCATTTCTGCAAATCAGGCTGCCTCCTTCCCTGATTTTGTTGGCTTGCAGGAACTCAGTTCCCTGACCAGGGACTGAACCCAGGCCATGGCAGTGAAAACACCAAATCCTAACCACTAGACTGCCAGGGAACTCCCTCACATCTTTGCACAAATGGATGAATTTATACATTTCTCGTCATCAGTGAATTTTTATTTGCTCATTGTATTCATGTGGTTGTGCCCATAAAGTTCTCTTCAAGGAGCTTCAGGAGCAGGACACTCTTTAAAAAAAACTAAATGAGAAAAAGTAAAAGACAGTGTAGCTTGCTGATTAAAAGCTTGGTCCTTCAAGGTCCATTTGCCAGCCAAACTTCAAGTTCTGGATATGTGACCTCAGGCAAGTTCCTAACCTCTCTGTGCCTCCGTCTCTCATCTATAAGATGGGTGTGATTAAAGTATTAGCCATTTTCACAGAGTGGTTGTAAGGATATAAAAGGATAATACATGAACATAGATGCTGTTGTTTGAGGAACAGTTAATATTTAATAAACACTAACTTATTAATCAAAGAAATTCCTTAAGAATAGTTTTTTTTTTTTTTAAGATTTCCTGCTCTAACTCAGTTTTCTTTTTTATTTTAGGTTCCATATATGGGGGAAAGAAAGCATCACACATGTCCATGCCTGCCCGACTTGGCCTGTTCACGGAATTCGTCTAAACGATATACTTGTTCAGCCCGGAAGTAATCACTTTAGAGGAGAAGCTTTGAATGTAAACAGCCACACGATATCTGTAAAGCCTGTTCACCTGTGATTGTGTCAAATAAATAATATGCCAGAAAGAAATGCTATTGCTTCCTCAGTTCTCTAAGTCACATTTCCCTCTTTGATTTTTAAATGATGTTGTGCTTTTTTTTTTTTTTGATTGAAAGGGAATTTACATTTTGAATAGAAACATAAAGTGCAGGACATTATGGAACAGTTTTCATTTCCCTGTTTGTGTTTTCATTTGGCTTTTTTTTTTTTAATGCCAATAACTCACCCATTTTCACAGAAGTGCAGAGAATACAAATTTGTTATTTTGTTACAGAAATTTTTTTCCCTTAAACATACCCTGCCTCCAGCCCTGTCCCACCACACACAAGCACACACGCACACTTGGGTCGCTTTCCTTCATTCCCCAATGAATTTTAAGACTCTCATTTTATTGTTTGGCATTTCCCTCCCTGACCGTCTAGCATTTTAAAGTGAGGATCCGTATTCTTGAGCTTGCTGGCAGAATCACTGATGAGAATCAAGCTTTTTTGCCTGATACCTAAACAGTGGAAACCCTAAACTTCTCTTATAGGGAGTAGGGACAGGGCTGCTTCTGAACTTTGACTGAACCTGCTTATGTAAGTGGGTTTCAGGTCTGCGGTTGACCAGTGTAAGGACAGAGAGAATGGGAAGTCAAATTAATTTAGTCCAGATTTATGGATTTGGGATTTTTTTAAGAAAATATTTCCAGTACGATACTACATTTATTTTTTCCTTTTATAAAGATTTTTTTAAAACAAAAGTCTCCTAGTTAGAGATGTTCCAGAAAATGTCACTTGAAGAAGAGGTATTGATTTTAATCTGGCATAACACTAGTTACCATTTTAAAATCAGTATTAATTTGTCATTTAAACTTTATCTGTAACCCAAAGGTCTGTCGTAATGGATTGCCTGACACCCTGTCATTTGTACATACCGCTATTGCTGTGTAAAAATTCTGTATCAGAATAATGACAGTACTGTATATCATTTGATTTATTTTTAATATTATATCCTTATTTTTGTCACAGTTGTCAGTTTTTATTACAAGTGGATTTCTATATAGCCCATATTAAAAAAAATAGGTAAAGACTCCAGAGTTCATAATATAGCCCTAACAGTGTGTACATTTTCCTTTTACATACAGGAAAGTTCTGTTTGCATGAGTTTTATGGTAGTACAAAAATAATGTGTGAATCGGTGAGGTTTGGGGGAATGAAGGAAAATTATGACATGCATAACTGTAATCAAAATGGACTCATGGCATTTCACTGTCTTGATTCAGCAAATAGTAATAGGTATTGATCATAAGTGGTTAGACAGGGTGCTAGGTCCTGGCCTATGGCGATGCCAGTGTAGCCTGGCCTTGAAAAAAACCCAGCAAGTATTGTGAATGGATTCAAATTTGCAAATAAACAACTTCTGAAATGTGTTTAACTGACTGAAGTGGCCATGCCAACCCACTAACCCACAAGAAGTAATTGTTCATTTTATAGTCAATTTATTCAGCCAGGACTTACAGTTGCATATTATGTATAACTTTTCCCCTGGGGTAATGTGTGCTATAAGTGTATTGAATTTTGCTGTTCTTAGCACCACACTTGGCCGTAGAAGGATTATTTTTGGTTCAGTTTAGTTTGTGTTCAAGAAACATTCCTCGGTGAGTTTGTTGGGGAAAAAAAATAGTCTTCAAGTGGAATTATGGGTGATTTTGCTCAATTTTGCTCAGTGCTGTTTTCACATAGTGTTCAACACATCCTTTTTCGTTAAGTGGTGAAAACTTGATTGGGTCAATCATCTGTTTTCCCCCAGGTTAAAAGACATGTAGCTTTTATATATACCAACTTAATATTTTAAATCAATACCTAAAAACTTAGACTGCGTATACAGAGCCAAGAGAATGTTATGTGAATCGGGTGTAGAAAACTTAGAACTGTACCTACTGACGCACTACCATTCAAAGAAAAACAGAGCTTTGTCATTTGTTACCTCTCTCATTGGTTATTATTTTTATTGAGGAGTGTGCTGTTCTATTTGGTTATTACTTTTTAACTTGTTACCAGCACTTATCAAACAGTTGTTGCAAAAAGCTTGTGGTCATGTTTCATGGAGAGTTTTTAAAATATTTCAGTGCAAAGCACACTAAGCCTTGCGATATAAAGATGGTATGGTGGTGCTGTTTCTTCCAGTCCCTAGGACAAGCTCTCATGGAAGTTGAAGCTTCATAGGCCAGAATTTCTAAAAGTAAGGCAAAGTGAGAATTCATGCAAGAAAACCTAAGTCAACAATCTAGTCTGATATAAATGTTGTGAATGGATTCCATTCTTTCTAAGGTAGAAATAGATCTTATGGCAAAAGCTACTGACCAAACTCAAATGGATCTTTGGATTTCTTGGCAAAGAAACCCACTGACTTTCATGAAAACTGTTCAGCCTTTTTCTTAAGAGCAGCACTTTAAAAAAAAATTTATTTGGAGGCTAAATACTTTACAATATTGGGTTTTGCCATACACTGACATGAATCAGCCATGGGTGCACATGTGTTCCCCATCCTGAACCCCCCTCCCACCTCCCTCCCCATCCCATCCCCCAGGGTCATCCCAGTGCACCAGCCCCGAGCACTTGGCTCATGCATCCAACCTGGGCTGGTGATCTGTTTCACATATGATAATATACATGTTTCAATGCTATTCTCTCAAATCATCCCACCCTCGCCTTCTCCCACAGACTCCAAGAGACTGTTCTATACATCTGTGTCTCTTTTGCTGTCTCGCATGTAGGGTCATCATTACCATCTAAATTCCATGTATATGTATTATTATACTGTATTGGTGTTTTATGTTCTGACTTACTTCACTCTGTATAATAGGCTCCAGTTTCATCCACCTCATTAGAACTGATTCAAATATATTCTTTTTAACGGCTGAGTAATATTCCATGGTGTATATGTACCACAGCTTCCTTATCCATTCGTCTGCCGATGGACATCTAGGTTGCTTCCATGTCCTGGCTATTATAAACAGTGCTGTGATGAACATTGGGGTGCACGCGTCTAACTGTAGAAACGTTTGTGCCAGAAGTGTTCCCCTACAAATCCTCTCATCTAACTGAAGATCTCTTCCTTTCCAGCATTCAGTGTAGCCTTTTGTTGGAACTTTAGCAAACCAGACCAGTGATAGATGAAACACATAAACAAACTTTATTCTTCTTTAGTTCTAACATCAGAAATCTCACCCTGGCTCTCTTTTTACTTCATTTTTTAGAAGATTATAAAGTCGGGGGCCATTTTCATGTTAAAAGCAGGATGTTTTTGCTATGCAATGAAGGTTACTGTCTAAAATTCACTAGGAACCTTTTATGAGCATTCTGTTTCAACCTATTGCATGTATTTCAGGTAATATCCTCAGAATTAATCTTTCTTTCATTCTTTGATCCCTTCTGATTTGTTAATCCTCAGTACTCCCTTCTGCATTAAAAGGAATTGCTTTTGTTCTAGTATTTTTTTAATGTGTCCCCAAGACAATAATCTTTAATAGCATAGTCCTTAAAGTGTGTTTTCCCCTATGTCCCCCCCGCCCAACTTTCAGAGTATACATTTCCCCAGATTAGAGGCGCTGATTAGTGTGCTGTTCTTAAGGCATCATTCTCATTTTCCATCATCCACCACCTCTGGAGATTCCGATTTGACGTGTCTTGGATGAGGTCTAGATGTTAGGATTATGTTTTTAAAGGTACTCATTTCCTTCTAAGGTGCACCCATGGCTGAGGGCCACTGACAAAGCATGAAGGAATATGTTTCTGTAGAAAAGCTACTGCTTCACTAATGCTGCTTTATGAGATGCCTGTCTAATTAGAAGTCACATGTGTAGCGAAGTGTCTTCGTCTTTTCTTGCAACCCTCAAAAGTAGTTATGATCTCCAGAACTAAACGAATGCATTTTCTTTTTCCTGTCCACCCCACCCATATACTACTTCTAGAGGGAAGTTTGCAGAAGGGTCCCCCTGGAGCACTTTAGTGTCAGTTACATAGCTCACTGGAGGAGTCAATTCAAAGTTCCTTAGAATAAGGGAAGCAGGCCTGGCTTCCAGCCTAGCTGGTCCCTTGGCTTTCCTGCGGACCCTGTGGTGGGGCATGGGGCCCTGGCTTCTCTCTCTTACTCTTTAAATGCACCCTCCCAGGTTACTCAGCTTTCGAACCCCCAAGCAGACACTCCCCTCTACCTGTCCCACTTTCCCATACATCCCAGGATTCTATTTTACTGAGCCCCTAAATCATCACAATGCTTTAGAAAGTCCAATATTGCCACAGACTGTAACTAATAGCTCAGTCTAGTAAGCCTGTCAATCAAACATAGGTATGTCACAAAAGATTGAAAGCAAGAAAGTGAAAAATCATGGTACGAGCATGACTTCTGATGATAGAATGCACTGGTTTACCTGTATTGTATACATAAAGAGCATGCATCTTTGTGTCCACAGGGTATTTTTATCCTTAACGAAACGTGAATTGTGCCAGCCAGGCAAAACCACGGCTTGATCTTTGGAGTGGCGACTGAGAAGAATATTTCCAGGCATTTTCTAACTGTAACCCAGACTTTCTCAACCTTGACACTTCCGACTTTCTGGGTCAGTTGAGTTTTTGTTGTGGAGCTGCCCAGTGCATTAGAGAATGTTTAGAAGTGCCCCTGGTTCCTATCCTACTAGATGACAGTAGCTCCCCTGAGTTGTGACACCCACAAGTATCTCTGGATATCAGCAAATGTCCCCAGGGGTTAGGGACTAGGGTGAATTGTCTACCTGTGAGAACCATTGGTTTATCCTGAAGATATTTTGTATCTGCTTTTATAACGTTTTGTTTCAGTATTGTACAAAATTTGAAATGACAGTATTAAAAAAAAAAAGTTAAGCCTCCCAGTGGGTTAAGAAAAAGCCTATCATTTTGCATTCAAAGTCA